GGGTTGGGGTCTACCTGGGGACTTCCAGCCTGAACACACAGACCTGGAGCTCAGGGGAGCTGTCAGGGCTGGGGTTACCTGGGGCTGGGCTCTACCTGGGGCTGGGGTCACCTGGGCCTGGGGTCTACCAGGGGACTTACAGCCTGAACACACAGACCTGGAGCTCTTGGGAGCTGTCAAGGCTGGCGTTTACCTGGGCTTAACAGCCCGTATGATATTAGACCCTGGGGATAGAAGGGCCCTCCTAGAGAGAGAGTGAGGAGGGCCAGAAGAGCAGAGGGGCCGAGACCCAGCTCTAAAGGACATGAAAATCTAGTCCCCGTAAAAAGGAGGCAGAGGAACCCGGCTCAGGGAGCTGGGAGGAAAGCCAAAGAAATCTGGCATTCCAGAATCCAAGACAAGAGAGTGTTTGGGAAGGAGACCACCGTCCACTGTAGCCGATGCTCCTGAGAGATTGACTAAGACACGGAGTGTAGTAACGACCTTGGCGGGAGCTGTTTTGACCTTCAAGTTGACCAAGCTCACTTTCCCTGCTTCTCGGTCCACAGTGCAGATTAGAACACTTCTCAGCTTGCACTCTTCCACGCTACAGGTCAACCCCCAAAAGAGACATTCCTCCTGTCCCTCAGGTTCAACTCCAATCCCCCAGGAGAGAAGATGCTATTGGCCCTGCCCGATTCCATGCTCTGCAGAGCCAGCCAGGTGTGGCCCAGGGTCAGGCCGTTATGCAGGGCTTGGGCTGAAGCCAGCTTCCCGTTTCCAGAAAATGGGACAGTGTTGCCTCCTCAGCTGGCGTTCACTTGCAAGGATGCCCACTCTATCTGGTCACAGTCAGGCCTCAGCATCTTTCTGGGGCTTTCTGTCTGTGGACCTGCAGCTGCTGGTCACCATGGAAACAGAAGATTTTGTTCACCACTTCCCCTTCTTTCTCTTGCTCTCCTCCTCCCCTCGCTTCCCCCTCTTTCCTTCTTTCCTGCCCTCACACCCACTCTTTCTTCCCCTCTGCGTTCTTCCCTCTATTTTTAGTCCTCATTTTCTATCTCACTTGTCCCGATTTCCTCATCTGGCTTTCTTTTTCTTTTTTTTCTTTTATTATGGATAGCTTTGTTAGGCACCTTTAATTCCCTTTGTGGGAATAAGGTGACAAGTACACGTATATATTCATTTATATGTACGCACATACCCACCTACACAGGTAAACACATTTATGAGGCAGTAATCCCAGCGCTTTTACCAAGCCAGTGTGACCCAAACAATTATTAGAAAAAGAATAATGACTGGGGGACAGTGTGTTCCGGTCTTGTCACTGGCCGAACGCTACTTGGAGTACAAAGGTTTTTTTTTTCTCCCTCTGTTTATCCTGAGATTCCGCGTTTAGACAAAGCAACGCTTCTCTGGCATATCTGCACATAATTTAAAACAGCCGAGGTTTGATTGCTCCTTTCTTAATAAACATAGCTATCAGTTTTGCTCGGCTAAAAATACCCACAGCGTGCCTTTTATTTTATGTATACACACAACCAATCCAGAATCTTCCAAGAATGCCTCTGCCAAACTCCATTCTCATTAATCAAATCAAGGCAGAGAGCCCAGAAGCCAACCAGAGGGAGAGCTGCGCAGGTTTAGAGCTCTTCATGGCTCTGAGCGGAGCCTGGGGACCCATCTCCATCATCATTATGTTCAAGCACTCTTCCAGCAGACCAGGTGTTTCCTGCCCAGCCAAGAACTTAGGGTGGACTCGTCAGACGGAGACAAACTGACACGCTCTGGCAGATTCTTCGTGACCCTGGAGAGCCAACTGGCAAAGGAAAACTGCAGCCGCACAGCACTTGACCCGTCATTTGGCTTCAGAGAGACGAAAATAACTGGGTGCTTGACTGGGTGGAGGGATTTTTGTTTTAATGAAATGATAGGTCATGGGACTCAAAGTGGCAGAGGGGGATCATTCATGAGGGCCCAGCATAAGATGAGTTAACCGCCTTTCAGGAACTCCAAACTGGACATCCACCAGAACGAGTGGTTGGCAGTGGAGGGGTGGGGCTCCTGCTCCCAAGCCCTGGCTGTGCTTCCTAAGGTGGTCAGCCTGGAGGTGTGTGCCCAAGAGGGTGCCAGAGATTGGAACAAACCCTGGCCACCGGCCCATTCTGGCCACTAGCTGATCCCTCCCTTTTCAGGGACCAGTCTGCAGGTGCTGTACCTCCTATGATCTGCAGAAAGTAGCTAAACGTAACAAGCTTCAGCTCCTCAGCTGTGCACTGCAGGGTTGCTGTGGGGGATACCGGAGACAGAGCAGGTAGAGTATCTTGCTCATTGTAGGTGCTCCATATACAGCACCTGTTATTAGAGACCCACGAACCCTGTGGCACAATGATTAAGTGCTTGGCTGCTAACCAAAAGGTCGGCAGTTCAAACGCACACAGCAGCTCCTCAGGAGAAAAGACTTAGTGATCTGCTCCTATAAAGAGTACAGCCTAGAAAGCCCTATAGGGCTGTTCTACTCTGTGACGTGGGGTCACATGGGGTTGCTATGAATCGAAATTGACTCTTCGGCATACAATAACAACAACAACATCAGAGGCTCACAGATGTTCTGGGTGCCTCTGCCTCACGGTGACGTGGGAAGGGCCCGTGTGGCCTTGGCTTGCTCCCCTTGTATCTCTGCAGCCTCATGTCCTGCCCCTTCTCTGCTCCAGCCTTGCAAAACCACGGGCTCTAAGCTCTGCCTACAACTTCTTCCCGCTTACAACTTCTTCCCGCCTACAACTTCTTCCCGCCTACAGCTTCTTCCCGCCTACAGCTTCTTCCTGCGCATTGCTTCTTTCTCTGGTTAGTTGTGTCCAGCTCTCATCTCTGTCATTGCTTCCTCTGAGCAGCTTCCTTGATGCCCCCATACTGGGATAGGAGTCCTTTCTAGGTGCTACTTTGCCCCGGAGTGTCCGCATATCACACTATGGAAGACTTCTATTAACTTGTCCATTGGACCATGAGCTCTTTGTGCAGGAGTCCCTAGCACCTAGCAGGGTGCCTGGAACATAAGAGGCGCTCAGTAAAAGCTTGCATGAATTAGTGAGTGAAAGAGCCACCAAACTCCCAGGATATATCAAGGGGAGCAGATGGCCAGTGGTGAGTCAGTGACTCAGGTGTGTGGTTGGATGAGCAACTCTGTTGACACCTGTGTCTTGTGTCTGTTTAGCTCATTTCCACAAGTAGTTAGTAATGGACTATTCTGAGCAGAACTGGGTATTGAATCTCTATCTCGGTGAGTAGAATTGGGAGGCTGGCTGAGGCCTCCTGGGGCAAGTGGGGAGGCGGAGAAGCTGGGATCTGGTGGTACAGGGGCTGGGGGGACTCTCCCATCTGTAGGCCTGGCCCCTGAGGCAGGGGTCAGCGGTGCAGCCTCCAGGACCTATGTGTGGAGGAGTAAAGTTAGCCTTAACTGATGCTGACATGGCATCAAAGGACTCTGTCGGGGTAGAGGTCGTGGCGTTGGCCTCCATCTAAGGCCATGGATGCCAAGAATCGATTCCCAGCCTTCCGAGGGAAAAGGATCGGCAGAGCCTGGCCCAGTGTGCAGGCCCTGGCCCAGTGCTCCGGTGTTCAAATCAGGGCACACGTGGGTGTTGATAAGAGGATGAATGAGGCAGGTGTCCAGCTGTGCAGACTGGGCCAACATGGCAGGCCTGGGCTCAGTGGCGCTGGCCTGGGGAAGGCTCACCCAGATGTTCCCGGCCTCTATCTGCAGCAGCAGGACTGTGGTGGTCTTACCCACCAATGGGGCTGAAGCTGTGGACCAAGTCTTTGCACTGGCCGTATGACTCAGGAGAGGCCTGGGGCCGAGCCCACTCATGCCAGGGAGGTCTCCGGGACCCAGCAGGCCTGAGGTGCCGAAGCAAGGGACACATCTCTTGGTGGAGTCTTCACTTCCATGTGGAAAGCTCAAAGCCATCAGCATGGAGGGGCGGAATGCTTGGTGTGGTTGAGACTGTGATCAGGGTACTGCCCGTGGCCCTCATGAGTGATCCTCATGGATGACCACATGCCTGGCACCATCCTTGGACAGAGGCAGGGGGGATAAATCATCTCCTCCGTGGTCTCTGCTTTCAAAGAACAAGATGAGGAGAGAAGCAAGGCTCTAGTTATCCACGCCTGCCTTGCCTTCTTAGGCTTGTTGTAAATGAAACCTGAATGACTTGTTGAAAGATTTTCCTCAGGGAGCTCTTACTCGCTTTCCACTTGAGTCATACTGTAGACATCAGAGGCTGACTGTCAACCTCTGGATTTGGGGATGTGTCAGCAAAGATTTAAACCGTGCAATGGAAAGAGGAATATTCTGGAAGCTTTGAATAGCCCAGCAATGAAGCATTGTTGGACACAAGTAGCCTGAACAAAGGCACTTAGAGCCCAGTGATGGGCTGGGGGAAGGTTACAAATGGCAGGTAAACAAGCGTCAATTTGTCATACACAACCATGTAGAAAGGAGACCCACTAGCGCGGTGAGTGAGCGCTCGGCTGCTAACCAAAAGGTTGGTGGTCTGAACCCACCAGCCGCTCCGTGGGAGAAAGATGTGGCAGTCTGCTTCTGTAAAGATTTCAGCCCTGGAAACCCTATGGGGCAGCTCTGTTCTGTCCTATAGGGTCACTAGGAGTCAGAATCGACTTGATGGCACAAATGACAAAAAGAGCCACGGAGAACATTAAGTATACAGCTGTCTTCCCCTTCTGGGGATGGCACCAGTTCATTACTTTATTCAATACAGATTTGGGACTTAGGCAAAGAATGTTCTTAAAAAAATTTTTTAAGCCTAGTGTGAACTGCAATCTTAATTTATAGACACTTAGAATTGGGGAGGTGGGGGAGCAGCCAAGGACAGTCACACCTCCAGGCCCAGAGACCTCTGTGGGCAGGTGGGATGTGGGCCGGCACGATGCTCTGTGGGAGCCTTGAGCATGGATGTGTAGACCCTCAGGGTGGAGGGAGTGCAGCTGCCCCCGAGGACACATGCCATGCACAGCCCCTGCTCTAGGGTGAAGGTTTTGCTGTCACCATGTACGGGGACCAGCTTGCTTGAGGTTAGAAGGCAGGACGTTCCTGAGCCCAGCCAAAAGCTGGAAACTACAGCTTCGAAATGACAGCATTGCCTTTTAAAAGGTAACGTCAATATGTTAGGTTATCATAAAATGTCAGTTACACTCAGTAAGGGTTAAAAATGAACTTCCTTGCTTTTTTTGGTTACTGTTTTAAATATGTCTTTGAAATTAAGATACAATTTACATGTAGTGAAATTGATATTAATGGTAGAGGTAGCTGAGTTTTAATAAGTGTATTGTTGTTATTAGCTGCCAACAAGTTGGCTTCCGACTCATGGCGATCCCATCTGTCACAGAATAGAACTGCTCCTTGGGTTTTCTAGGCTGTAATCTTTATGGAAGCGGATTGCCAGACCTTTCTTCTGCAGAGCCCCTGGGTAGGTTCGAAAAGCCAACCTTTAGGTTGCAGCCAAGGGCAAAACACTTGCACTACCCAGACTCCTTCACAAGTGTGTAAGCATCACCAGATCAAGTTACGGAACATTTCCTTCACCCTAGAAAGCTCTCTGGTGCCTTTTTTATCACCAATAACCTCACTGCTGTTTTAAACCCTCAGTCAGCTCTGAAAATGTTGCCAGATTCTGCCCGACTCCAACTGTTTTGGAAGACTCGACTCGGTTGCCTGGTCCCTGTGCAGCAGCCCTGGTGCCCAGGCAGACAGATTAGGTGGCCCCTCTCCTCAGCCATCACCCCCACACAGCCCGCACTGTAGCCAGGACCTCAGACGATGGTGGTCTTCACGTGGGTGCTTGTCTTCCCACTAGGCTGCTCGCTGAGGCTAACACCCTCCTCCTTCCCCTGGGTGGGCCGGGTCAGCCACTGTTGGCCGACTGAGTGAAGGAGCAGGTGAAGAAATTAGCAGGCCGTCTGGCCCATCTGTGAGCAGGATGGTTTCTGCCCTTCACTGTAGCCCGGGGTCTATGCGGCTCAGCTCTGGCCAAGCTGCAAACTTTGGAATCTGAACCTTCTCACTTCCTTTTGGAGGTGCCCTGGGGGAGCAAAGGTTTAAGTGCTGGCTGCTAACCGAAAAATTGGCAGTTCAAACCCACCCAGAGGCTCCGAGGGAGAAAGACCTGGCGATCTGCTCCCGTAAAGATTACAGCCTAGAAAACGCTATGGGGCAGTTCTACTCTGTCACATGGGGTCACTATGAGTCGGAATAAACTCAGTGGCAAACAACAACAACACAATAACCACAACACACAACAATACCACCCACCACAACACCACACAATACAACCACGACACAGCACAATTACACAGCACGACAATACAATGACAACAATGATCGCAAACGACAACAACAGCGCCTTCTCTTCTTTCTGCATCAGAAGGTCTGCTGCTGAGCCCCTAGCCTGGGAAGCATCCTTCCCTCCTTCCTTCCCACCTACAGCCACACCAGCAAGTCCTCCTGATCCTGCCCCTAACAGCTGGCTGTGCCCTGCGCCTTCTTTCCTGCCCCAGCCCAAACCACCGTGTCTTACCTGGACAGCCAAGGGCCCCAGACCCTCTCCCTGCATCCTCACTTTCCACCCAGATCTGTCCTCCTCCCAACTAGGATCCCTGTTGTGTCCATCCCTTCTTTAAACTCTTCTGTAAATTTCCGTTGGACTTAGAATAAATTCTAACCTGATTAAAAAAAACCCAGACAAAACCAACTGCTGTCTCCTTGATTCTGACTCGTGGTGAACCCATGTGTGTCAGAGTAGAACTGTGCTCCAGAGTGTTTTCAATGGCTGATGTTTCAGAAGTAGATCACCAGGACTTTCTTTTGAGGCACCTCTGGGTGGGTTTGAACTGCCAACCTTTCAGTTTAGTAGTCGAGCGATTAACTGTTTGCACCACCCAGGGACTCCCTTACTGTTTATTCTGACCTACAACCCTGGCTGGGCCTGGCGCCCACCTGCCATCCCAACTTTATCGGTACCGATCTTCCTGTGGCACTCAGTGACCGGGCCACACTGGACTCTCTGTCCCTTGAGCTGGCCTAGCTGCATCTCATCTTCCAGATTCTCACTTGCCATGGCCTTTGATGTCTATCTGGATGCTGTTCCCTCAAATGAGCTTGTGCTGGCTCCTTCTCCTCCTTGGGGTCTCAGTGGGGACTTCCCCAGAAAGGGCTTCCCTACCTGGCCTTCTCCCAAACTGGGCCCCTTCCCTTTCTCTCTGTCACAGCACCCTATTTCTTCCCTCCCTCTTTCCTTCCTTCTTTCCATCCCTCCCTCCCTCCCTTCTCTTTTCTTCCTTCCTTCCTCCCTCCCTCCCTCCTTCCTTCCCTCCCTCCCTCTCTCCCTCCTTCCTTCCTTCCTCCCTCCCTCCTTCCTTCCTTTCTTCCTCCCTGGCTTTCCCTCTGCTCTCCTCCCTCCCTTCCACCTTTCCTCCCTCCCTCCCTTTCTTCCTTCCTTGAAGAATTCATTCCTTGATTTCTTCCTCCCTCTCTTCCTCCTCTCCCCACTTCCTTTTTCTCTCCTTTCCTCCCTCCCTCCCTTCCTCTTAAGCATTTATCAAGGCTGTATACGTTTTGTTGAGGTATTGATTTATTTGACATGCCCCCCCACCCTCACCACACACACACACACACACACACACACACACACACACTGGGGCTTGAGCTCTATGGAGTGGGGACAATGTCCCTTCCCTGCCATGGACACAGGGTGCCCCATCCGAGGCCAAGGACTGGTATTTGATGAGTGCACAGATGAGCCTGTGAGAAGGGACTCCATGGTTCTATGGTGGGAGCAGTGGAAGAAACATTTTGAAAATGTCGCCTTCCAAATATGTCACTGCTCTCGGGGACCCAAAGCCAGTCCCTAGGAGCGGGCACCCAGGGACGGCTCTCCACCTCCGCAAGTGATCTTTGGCAGGCTTAGGGTGGGTCTGGGGGTGGGGGTGGGGGTCCGGGGGGCTGATGCCATCCTCCTTTGCTGTGTAAGGGGTAAGGACACAGCAGGTGCTCTGTTCACCGAGGCCTGGGGCCCGCTTGCCCTGGGCGTTGTCTGCACCAGGCAAGTGCATTTTCACGATAACATTGCATAAAGCCCAGAAATCTGAGAAAAAGCACAGTCTGACTTGAATAATCGTCTCTTCTAATTACAGAAGGCTGTGTAGTTTGAAAGGAGAAGAGTTTTCCGTTAGGAGGGCTCTAAAAATAGTCGTGATTTGAACCGCCTTCTCCAGTGTCAGCCTGAACGGCACTCACACCAGCAAACTGTTGTGGCAGCAGAAGCAGGTAGCCCTACACGCGGCCGCCTCTTGTAAACTTCACGGCGAGGGAGCCCTCCTGGAAACACTGCTTAGAACACGCACACCTGACCCCACGCTTCTCACGGGTGACTCTCACATGGAGTTCCTTGTGCCTAATGTACATGTACAAGCGCAGCAACTCCTAAATCCCTCAAGGTGAGCTCCAGATGGCAGCTGATGGGCAGCTGGAAACGTCCCCGGGAGAAGAGCACAGGGTTGATTTCTGCAAGGGAGGCCACCATAGAGGGGCAGTACAGACATCCTCCCCGGTCTCCCCACCTCAGCACCGTTTGGGAGTTGCTTCCCATTGTTCCAGAGTCCATGGGTGGTGCAATTCGCTTGGCTGCTAACTGAAAGGTTGGCGGGCAGTGGTTTAAGTCCCCCCAGAGGCACCACGAAAGAAAGGCCTGGCAATCTACATCTGAAAATTTAGCCATCAGAAACCCTATGGAGACAGTTCTAGTCTGATATACATGGGGTCACTATGAGGCAGAATCTATTTGAGACAACTGGTTTCCATCGCCCCAGCCCTTGGTGGTTTGCAACTCTGCTTCTCAATCTCCTTCCAGAAAATGCATGGGAATGGCCTGACTCCCAAGGAAATGGCAGCATGAGGTTTCCCACATAGATTTCTTAGCTCTGGAAGGTCCCCAGGTCTGGCAGGGACAAGTTTGGGGACATTCAGGGCACGCGGAGCAAAGTGTAGTATTTATGCATTTATTTTGGTTTGGCATGCCGCGGTGGGGACTTTGCAGTTTAATCTCTCTGAAGCATTGCAGCTTCTGGATTTAATTTCGGCTTTACTCTGCTATCTTGCATACATGTCCAAGGCTCAGAGACAGCTGAGTGGGGCTGGCATGATTTATAGCAGGGATGTTTGGCGACCTGGCGACTCCGTCAAAATCCTGTAGCTGTCTGGAAGAAGGGAGGCTCCAGCTACTGGGGTGGGGAGGCGGCCGTTGCAGCAGGAGGCATGAGCTCGCTTCGACTCAGCGTCCGGCTACAATTTGTGTCATGTTTCCCAGTTTGCAAAGCATCTTCACCCCGTCTCGCATCTGAGCGGTATAGACATTGCTGTTACTTGCTGTCAATCAGCTCTAACTCATGGCCGTCTCACGACAACAGAATGAACCGGTTCCCAGTCCCACACCACGTTCACGATTGTTGGTATGTATGAGCCCTCCGGTATGTTTACGGTCATTGTGTCAGTCTGTCTCACGGAGGGTTTCGCTTGCCTTAACTGGCCCTCGCTTTACCAAACACGATGTCTTTCTCCAGTGATCAGTCCCTCTTGATGATGTGTCCAAAGCAAGTGAGTCCAGCCTTTCCTGTGGAGCAGCTCTGCTCTGTCACATGGGATCGCTAAAAGTCGCAGTTGACTCGATGGTACCTAACAAGACAAGTCGTTGCAAAGACCTCGTCGTTGGGTCATTTCACTGCACACCTGCCAGCTGCCTGGCCCCACGTGTGTGGTCACAGGGCGAGTCTTGGGCCTCTGCCCTTAGGGACTCCAGCCTCACAGTGCAAAGGGGGTTTATTCCTCAGTAGGTGAGAGAAGCAATGAAGTGTCTGGGTGCTCAGGGTGGGGGGCTGGGGCAGGAGGTCAACGAGGGCATGGGAATGGGGAGGAAGTGACACTTGAACCAGAAGGAGGGCTGGGTTGGTGGCACAGAGAGGAAGGGAGGAGGCTCTGAGTGAATGAGGAAGAGGAAGGCCCTCAGAGTGGCTGGAGAAGGGGTGCATGGACAAAGGAGTGGGGGTGAGTATGGAAACACAGGTGAAGGCCCAAATCTGGGAGAGCCTGGTACCAATCTTTATTGAGCACTTTCCTCGGGCCAGGTATAGCACTGAGTGGGGTCATACCTTAGTGAAAAAAACAGATATGGTGCTCCCTGTGGGGGTGATAATAACAATCAAACCGTTCCGATAGCCAGGCTCTGTTCTCAACACTTTACAGGCGTTAACTCATGGACTCACCACAAGTCTGTGAGGTGGGAACTCATATTGTCCCCATTTCCCAGATGAGAGCACTGACGCAAGGGGGGGTGCGGTGACCTGCCTGAGGACTCAGCTGCTGAGCGATGGAGCCAGATTCTGAATGCAGGCATCTGACTCTCTTAGCCGTGGTACCAGCCCATCTCTTACAGTCAAGCATCAGAGCAGTCAGAAAATAATTACAGAGGTAAAGAGGTGGTGCCGTGAAGAAAAAGACCAGGACGCAGAGCCGGGAAATCAGGGAAGAAGGGGAAGTCCTCCTTGGGATAGAATTTTCTGGAAAGGGCTATGTGAACAGGTGACATTTAAGTTGAGCCCTGAAGGATGAGAGGGATTTTATTTACGTCACTGGTAACTGGGGAGGTTTCATTTGAAAAAGAACATATTGTATATTGATTTTCATTGTCAATCTATTTTTATTTCACCTCATAAGTTTTATTTCTTTTTTTCCTTCCCAAGAGGGAGCTAAGAGTGGAATTAGCCCACCGTGAACTGAGGTGAGGTAAACTCATGAAACATGCAGGAGTGGGCAGGAGAGATGCAGGTCAACACACGCGTGAGATGGAGCTTCCCTGTAAAGCTCCTGTTTCTGTCAGCCTTTAGATACGCCTGGCAAACCTCACTTCATCTGGAGCTCTCAGGTGTTTAAAACATTAATTGGTTTGGCTCCAGTTTTCCTCTTGGAGAATGAGACCCGCCGTAGAACTGGGAGTGCTGTGCCAGCCGGCAGACGGTCTCTGCACGTTGTGAGCTGCCCCCGCCCTGGCGCCCCATTCGGGGGACAGAAGAGCTTGCCTGGTCTCAAGGTAATAGCCACATCTTCTTCCTCCGATGGTGTGACCCTGGCCTGGGAGGACCTCAGGCATATCGGGGGAGGCCCCTGAGTCTGAGCCCAAGAGGTCGCGTTGGAGGAAAATGCAGTCCAGGCTGATGGGGACTTTGAAAGTCAGTTTCGGTCCCTGTTTATTGAGCACCTACTGTATGCAGGGCACTGGGACAAGCCTGAGGGGACACAGGGAAGAGGCAGACTCTGGGCCCTTTCTGAAGGTCTTTTCATGCATCCCTCCAGCCCATTTACTGAGCACCATCTGCACGCAGGTGAGAGGCCACTGGCCCTACGATGACCCTCGCTGGAGGGGCTCACTGGGCCGTGGGGGCATCACTCCTGTGGTGCCTACACAATATCCCAAGGACCCCGAGAGGCGAGAGAGCCCTGTGCGAGCCCAGGGCAAGGGCTTCCTCATCAAGAGGTGCTTGGGCTGAACCTTGATGTACAGGTAGGAGTCTGCCGGGAGAGGAAAGGCCAGAGTGTGTTCCAGGCAGGGCCACAGTGTGTGCAAAGGCAGGGTGACAGGAGAGTGACAGGCAGGGTCATAGTGTGTGCAAAGACGGGGGTGACAGGAGAGTGACAGGCAGGGCCACAGTGTGTGCAAAGACAGGGTGACAGGAGAGTGACAGGCAGGGCCACAGTGTGTGCAAAGACAGGG